AATTTCAAACAAACAAACCCCAATAACACATGAAACGAAAAAAAAGAAAAAAGCAGTCGATACATTAATTATTGACGGGGTTTTTTATGTGTAAAATGAGTGATTTTATCCACTACCTTTATGATCGGTTCTTCAAACAGATGAAGTATTGCAACAAAAACATTGCTCAACATAATGTAATATGTAGGCCACACTAAGCAAAGCGTAGATATCGTGTTTAAAAACAAAGTCTGAGCATCTAAAACAATTCTAGTCATGCAAAAATACTGCGAACCCCCAGTGGCACAGCAGTATGTCTGCGGACTTACAACGCTAGAATCCGGGTTTCGATACCAGTAGTGGGCAGAGCACAAATAGCCCATTGTGTAGCTTTGTGCATAATTACAAACAAACAAATCTCTTTAACTGTCTTAAATACTTTTTGAGTAATGTCTTTTGCACTACGCCAAAAAAGACAGTAACGCTCTTCAAGTGCCTTGAAATATTGTGACATAAAGATTACCTTGAGAACCAGAAAATTAATTATTCAAATCCTTCAGTAATACTTTTGTTTTTGTGCTTGAGTGTGATTTTATTTTGATACATTAATTAACTTTTTGAAGCCTGCAATAAATCTGGCGGTAACCTTTAATGCTATGTTTTTCAAAAATATTTTTTTAGCATTTCAAAAATATCACTAAATATCAAATATCAGACTCACGTATAGAAGCGTAGTTAGTATAAATAGTTTGAATCTGGAGGGGCACCTTTAGCATTTTTATTGATTTGTCAAAAAGAAATGCTATCTTAAATACAGCCAGTAAGAATGCTAGCAACTACAACCCGCCATACACTATTAGGCTTAGCGTGCTATTTTACCGAATTCATTATATTTTTAATTTTATAGTTTGTTTGTCATTGTTTTTGTTTTAAGATTGTCACTTGAATATTTTGACAAAAAAAAAAAAAGTAGGAGTTCCACCGCCCGTGTATATAAATATATATATAATATATCAATCATCACCCCCCCCCCCCCAAGAAAAGACAAATAATCATCAAAGTTATATTAACTGTTGAAGCTATGGTCCTGAGAGTAGATAACCGCACTAAAAGCGTTGGGAAATAACCCGATTTATTAGTATCGGACAAAAGCATTAGTAGTTTAAAAAATTACTACACACATTACAGTTCACTGTCCATGTGTAATTGTGAACACTGTATGGATCTGTTCTTATAAACACCTCATTACGCAGGTATTCTAGCACAAATAGACCTAATTAGCAACATAGAAAACTTAATTCCTTTCGAAAAATAATTTATAAGCAGATTTGCTATTAATGTAAAAAATATATTTTAGATTTTATCACTAGAGTGCGCTAGATATACTCATCACACACGCACACGTTAATAAACAATGGCGTTCCAAATTCGATGACGAGGAACCCACTTTGAGACTAATAATGGCTGGAGACGGCTTGAATTGGTAATGAAGAAAAACTTTAATATAAGTTTAACATAACAGCAAATGTACAACGTTTCGACAAGGTTTTGTCGTCATCGAACGTTCAGAGAACTTAACCTATTCTGTTATGACATTATTTCCATTCCAAATAACATCTTAATAGTTCTCCTCTGAACACTTGCCAAGAATTCAACATATTTTCTAAGTACTACAACTGTGGCCTAACTAGTGACCTATACAATGAAATTATAACTTTATAATACTAATATTTATGTACACACAACCTAAAATCCTATTTGCTCTACAACTAGCAACAGCACGTTGCTTAGATGGCTTAAGATACTGACCAACCAGAACACGATTTGTCCTCAATAATAGAATCAAGGTCATTCCTATACTTATAATTTAAAGTATGATAATGCACATGTGTTACCTGGCATTTATTAAAATTAAAAGCCATCTGTAATTTATTTGCCCAACTTACCAAATAATCTAAATTCTTTTCTAAAGCAGCAACATCCTTGCAACCAGCAGCGCTCAAGACCTTAATATCATAAGCAAAGTTATTGACCATTCCATGATTTATGTCATTGATGTAAATCAAAAAGAACAGAGGTCCTAACATTTGAGCCCTGAGATACCACACTCTGTTTATAACCCTCTGCTAATTTTCTGTCTAATTAGCAAAGTTATCACTAACACCGATATGTTTTTTTTTCAACAACCCGTTTACGTGGCACCTTGTCAAATGCTTTCTGAAAATCCAGATACACCAAATCCGCACCCTTGCCCTCGTCTGTGTAAGCAGTGACCTCTTAAAATAATGTCAGAAGATTAGTATGAATAGAGTGATAATCAAGCACAACACTTACAGAAAGTAATTTGTTGTTTTAGAGTCATGCAAGTTCCCCCTGATGAATAATAATTTGGGGTTAATTCACCAAGCTTGTTGCTGCTTGAGTTGTCAAGTTCAGCTCAAGTAACGTGGCTAGTCTCAGTTTGCCTGATTTACAATTTTCAAATAAATTGTGGTTTCTTATGGGTGGTTGGTTGGGTTTTATTGTATGACACTATACAGAGTGGTTTTATAGACTATTTTCTATTTGTACTATTTTATCTTTATTTCATATCGAGGAGACTTAAAAACTAGCTGTAAATAGTAAATGATCGTACGATGTGGATGTTACTTGGGTTCTATCCCCTTACTGAACATATTTTGTAAGTTTGTTGGTTTTTTACCTTAGTTTGGCAACCCCTTACTAAACTTATGTTGTAAGTCTGCTGGTTCTTCCCCCGAGTTTGATAACTCCTTACTAAACTTATGTTGTAAGTCTGCTGGTTCTTCGCCTAAGTTTGGTAACTCCTTACTAAACTTATGTTGTAAGTCTGCTGGTTCTTCACCCGAGTTTGGTAATCCTTTACTAAACTTGTGTTGTAAGTCTGCTGGTTCTTCACCCGAGTTTTGTAATCCCTTACTAAACTTGTGTTGTAAGTCTGCTGGTTCTTCACCTAAGTTTGATAACTCCTTATTAAACTTATGTTGTAAATCTACTGGTTCTTCACCTAAGTTTGATAACTCCTTACTAAACTTATGTTGTAAATCTACTGGTTCTTCACCTGAGATTGCTAGACACTGATTATATTTATTTACCATTACACATGTTACCTAGTTCGACTGTCATACATTACTCAGTTTTATGCAGTTGGAATAAATCTTGATTATTATTTCATAATGAAAATATATAAAATTTATTGACATTTATGTGTCTGCATTTCATTTTCTTATTTTGAATGTTTGTGTAATTCTGGTAAGTTGGTTTCATTCTTTTGTTGTATAAAAGCATTGGATCAGAAAATATAAATTAACCAATTTAATTACAAAAGCTATTCAAAGTTAGATGAACATCAGCCCAATTTCCTACAAGAAGTGAAAATGTGATGTGTTCTGACTTGTTTGAAGAATATATAAAGGAAAAAAAATCATAATTTTCAACGATTAGAAAAGACTCAAACAATATATATATATTTGTTTGTTTCTGTGAATTCTTATAGCCTTTTTGATAAAATACTAAAAATAACATTCCTTATATCTTGTGAATAACTTACATAGGTAACACTAACAGGGCAGACTCCGACTCCTGTTCCTTGGGGATGGGGGAGGGTCAGTGGAGCTTTTGTGGGTGTCATCATACAGTGATACCGATTTACAGTACTTAAAAAAATATCATGCGCTTTTTTGTTGTTGTTTTTTTACTTAATAGTATGATTATTAACCCGCTAGGGAGAACGAACTTGGGTGGGCCAGAGTGAAATTTTCATGTGCATGATTCTCCCTAGCGCCGTTCACGCCTGGTATTGGTAATAATCTAATATCAAATAAGCGGGAAAAGTAGGCATTCATTAGGATTTGTGAAAACAATATTATCACCTATCATTCCAGTTTGAAAAGATTAAGTACATACAACATAATTGCCTCGGTGTAATAAAGCTGCTCCACAAATGTCAAAAAGTAATTGTAGTGTACTTCAAGCTGGAAGGAGAATCAACATCGAAAACATTAAGTTACCGATATTTGATAAAGTGAAAAATGGCGACATCTATGACATCAATATATGAGCAAATCTTTAATTTCAAGTTTTTTTTTCATCACCATTTTATTTTATTTTATCCTTATATAGTATTCTTTAAAATAATTTTGTACGTGTTCTGATTCCAATCAAATTACGTTTGGTTTAATTTTCCAACCCCGTAAAAGTATTTTTACACAGATATCATAACATTAAATATTATAATAATAAATACTTGTTTAAAATTCTAACGGTTAGGTTAAATTAGTGATCGCTAAGCGTAAAGATTAGAAAAACTTTTGGCAACTTAGCAAGTGTGAAGTTCAAATTGTTTTAGTTAAAAGTAATACTTAATTTTGATATATATTAACTTATTGCATGCTTAACAAAATTTTATCCTTTACCATATGTCAAGAAGGTAGAGGGACGATGTTGCGGAAACATGTTACCCCTGTGAAACGTGTTCTCTTGCGCGAAACAAACTTGTGCAGTGAAGCTAATGTAACGCCCTCTGGCTGGAGCGTCATTACTAACTGGTGTAGTGGAGCGATGGTGAAAAGTGTTAATGGCGGGTCAGTGTTGATGTGTTGGGCAGCTGTCTGCACCATATGTGAGTATTTTCTCCTTGTTATTTATGTAAATAGAGCCTAAACAACTGTTTCGACCAAAGAGTCTAAGAGATTGAGGGGAAACACTAGACTCAGACAACAAAATAACAGTAAAACCGATTTAAAACATAGTTTCTTTTGGAACGGAAAATTACGTAAGCCCGTTGTAAATGTAATGTTGGCAAGGGTTTTTTCAATTGTTGCTTTTAGTTTTAGTTTTAACTTGAAAGTTTAAGCTAATAACATGCTTGAACGATTCTATAACTTGGTATATTATGTACATTTATTAACATTGAGGGAAGTATTTGAAAATCAAAAGTATAGGCTTAATGAAATTCGAGAGTACTTATTACAAATTTCCATATTATTTTATATTTTATATAATTTTTAACTTTAAAGCTTAATAACTTAATCAATGAAACAAAAGCTATCAGATTACTTAAACTCAGTTCAAATTCAACAATATTTATCAGACTTTGTGTATGTATGTTCTTTTTACACAGACATCTTTTGTATATTATATTGAAAAACTTTCAAGAAATTTACTGATGGAACATAACATCATTATGAAAAATATTTTTTTGTGTTTAAAATTAGGTATACCTCAAATAACATACAAGAATTTTTTGATGTATAGTATTAATCAAGTAAACCAAGCCATAAAACAATGAAACATTATGTGTGAAGAACCTGATTCTAGTTGTTTTGTTAACATTTAAAATTAAATAGCAAAGGTTTGATGATATATATATATATATATATCAAAGCAATATTTGTGTATTATAAATTTATATTAGTTATGTGCTCCAAAGATCAAAATTGTATATATATATTGTTGTTTTTACACTATAAATCACTTTGTATGAGTTTTCAAACATTGAAAGCTATTTGTTTGACCTAAACATAAGTTATAATATAGACATTAAGGCTGCACAATTAGTGGATTCAAAAAACAATGTTTTATTTCAAAAATATCTGTGTCATTACACCTACCATATGGTGTGTCTTTCTAAAACATATCATGTTTAATGGCTGCTGGGTTTTTTCTACCCATAATTTCAATTATTATCAGTTATGAAATCTTTTAATAGTTCAGGGCATGTGGTGTTTTACTTTTGTTCCCCATACTCTTTAAGGTTCATAAGGAATTTAGAAATATTCAGAAGTTCTCCACTACACTTTGTACTTTTCAGCTGAACTTAAAGATTATTTTAATGTTTAAGATATTACACAAAACATGAAATTTACTGCTTAAACTTTTTTTTTTTAGGTTAATGAAGAAACTGTATATATATACATATATATTTATTATTAGGAATAATTGATCTCAAGATTATTTATGCATGAGTATACTGCTTCAGCTTGGCAGTACTGTAATGTGACTTGTTATTGTCACTTTGATCAGTAGATGATCCACTCATCGGTTATAAGTGAAATGGGCTACTCTTGTATTTTATGACCTGTGATACTGTTGTAAAATGTGCATGCAGTGTTTATCAAGAGGTTTTATAGCTGTTGTAACACAATACTGACATTACTTTTAATGTTTAATTAGGTTTTTGTTTAGATATTTTGTTAAAAATTTCCACAATATAACTGTATAAATAAATTCTGAAAGATCACCTTGGCTTTTCTTCCCTCACAAAATTTGTTGATACTATAAATACATAGAGTGTTAAATGTAATCCCTTCACTATTAATTTTATTATATGAATCAATATTTACATGAGATTATTTGATGTCTGTGAGTAACTTAATTAGCACAAACAATTTCTCTTACACCTTTTTGTGTATATTTTCTATTCTGGTTTTGTATTATTCAATTATGACAAAATATTTACTTAGCACTTCTTATTTGCCACCCACCAGTGGCACAGCGGTATGTCTGCGGACTTACAACACTAGAATCCGGGTTTTGATACCCATGGTGGGCAGAGCACAGATAGCCCATTGTGTAGCTTTGTGCTTAATTACAAAACAAACCTTATTTGCCAATTTAACAGTGTGGGGAATCTTTAAAGACATGAATTGTAGCATGAATTTTTAGTTTACATTTAATTTTGATGACTCTACTGGCATTTGCTGCACTGCTTCTTAGAAGTGTCAATGTAGAAGTATCCTGTTGAAATTAATGTCATGAGTGGATAGTGAACTGTGTCAACAGGATACATTCTTAATCTCTGCTAAAGTGTAAAATATGATAAAAATACAGAAAATGCATTACAGGTTTATCAAGCTATATATGCAGTGGCTTCTCAAGCCTGATGATATCATAAAGTTGTGATGGCAACGTATACAGAGCACTTAGAACTTAATGGATTAGACGAAGAAGATGAACTGACAGATGATGAGGTGTTCACTCGTGGAGGAAAGTCTATTCCACTTGACGAAAATGGTATCAGCAAACCTCTTATGGCTCCTCGCCACCGTGCCTCCAAGACTGATGTCCTACACACTAGAGTAAGGAAAGTGCCCCCTTTAAGAGTAATCTGGGGCCCCATTATTTATGGACTTATTGCACTAGGAGCTGTTATAGGTGAGATCTTATAGTGAAGTACATTAGGATACAAACTGAAAATAACAAAATGTGTAACTTGTAGTGTTCTATTCTTTTGTTTCACTGTGACTTTCGCATCACAATGACGGTGATTTGATTGATGTAAAAAGAGAGTACAATATGTCATTAACATTAATATTTAGGATACAAGATATCTTAAAGCTTCTTGTGTGAAATAATCTTTTTTTATATAAAGTTCTAAAATTTATATATTCCACATGGAAAAGTAACATATTTTCGAACACATTTCAAATATAATATATTATTATATCTTGAAATACTTGCAAGTAGTGGTAAAAAACTTACTGGATTCGTTAAAAGTTTCTTGTGAGATTCATCAGTAAATATTGTTCATCATAGAGCACTAACTCTTGGTGGATAAATCAGTGACATGCATCTGTGGTCACAGGATGTGTACGCCAGAGGGAGCTCCATCTGCTCAGTGTGGTCATCATTCATGTTAAACAATGGCCTGCGTCTCCGGGATAATGTGATAGACTGCTAAGCAAAGTTGTCCAATATTTTATGTGATTATTCTGGTGGTTGGTCCACTTGAATATTTTACTGTTAGGATGTAATTGAAGTTAGTTGTGTATCGTGAAGTGCTTGCCATACTGATTGACTTAAATAATGGAGAATTTCATTCACATCGTCTCAAGGATTCAGGCCATTGGTGACCATGTCGAACAGATCTGGTGGCCATAGATTCGTTCACAAAGAACCATTGCCCTATGATGAAGTTTATAAAAGCCCTGTATTTCAAAATATATATATATATTGGTGTCACTCAAATCAGTAGTGAACTATGTGTAAAATATCAGATGTATTTCTGCAGGGCCCCTAAAGTTTTCTGTTTCAAAGGTAAAGAAAACCAAAATTAAGAGTAACAAATATTTTTATTTCTTGCTTTTAAAGTTCATGTGTCATGCTGTGTTGTAGCCTAAAGAGTGCATAATTCTTCTCGTGATTCACAGCATGCGTACGTTTTACTGACGTCACGACAGTGCAAGTTGCATCGTTTAAGCTTTACTTATGTGAGGTAACTTTAGTGTCTATTGACTGACTGACAGACTTGTTTAAATATTATATTATAGGCTTATGTTTAGTAAAATGTATTAACTTGTTTGAAATGTATTTCAATGTCTTGTAATGGAAACCTTCAAGTATTGCTATATGCACGGTGAACCAAATCAGGGGCACAGCTAGGCTTATATTTAGTAAAATGTATTAACTTGTTTGAAATGTATTTCAATGTCTTGTAATGAAAACCTTCAAGTATTGCTATATGCATGGTGAACTAAATCAGGGGCACAGCTAGGCTTATATTTAGTAAAATGTATTAACTTGTTTGAAATGTATTTCAATGTCTTGTAATGAAAACCTTCAAGTATTGCTATATGCATGGTGAACCAAATCAGGGGCACAGCTAGGCTTATGTTGTGTTCCCATGTATCATTGAAAATTTAAAATACAAATTTTCTTTTATATAGAATCTCAATCTGATTGTTTTCTCCCCAAAATATTTATGAAAAAATGTCAGTGATCAAAATGTAAATATTTACTATACGCATGTTACCTGTATGATAAATTATTTGTAGATTACACATGTAAAATATAGTTACCACAAGTTATAGTTTCCAAAGATAGACCCTTAGACTCCCACCAGTGGAAGAGGGAGAACCCCCAACCATACCTTTCCTGGGAGTAACTCAAATTTATGCCTAATGCTGACCCTGCATACCAAATACCCCTAGTGAAATGGAATTAAATTAGAAGCTACAGCAAACCCTTCATAATGATTAAGCTGTCTTTGCCTGTCTGTCTGAATCAGTGTTTAGGTCATAGTGGACAGTCTGGGAGGGTCAGGTTTTCAATCTAGACCTCTTCCTCCCTCCTTCACTATTGTAACTGACAGGTGCTATATGGTAATTCACGAGATAAGCACACAAGTAACGATGTTTATTACACTATTCCTATTACCCTCTTCAGGACCATTTCCATTCATTTCACACTTATAGCATTTCACACAGAATAGTAAAAGGTCTATGGATTGTTTTAAGTTCATACTTTCAAGTAAAAGAATTAAATTACAATAAACATTTTGTTGGTACTAATATTTTGTTATTAATAACATGGTCATGTTTTTTTTTTAGGTTGTGTGAATTCTGGTTGTGTCACATCAGTTTCCTTTCAAAAACAAATTTCTGTATAATCATAGTGTTGTATAAATTGTGGGTTGTTTCTGAAAACAAATTCCGACGTGTGTTACTAGAGAAAGAATTATAAAACTCTCTAATTTATATTTTATATGCTTTTACATAAATATCATCCACAGCACAAATAACTCTTTATTCTGGTTTTTTTTTTAGGAATCATCTGTCTGGTGGTTTTTCTAATCAATACTTTCATGGCACATTTATCAACTTCACATCGATTGCTTCACACTCAAACTCAGCAAGCCATTTTACCCTGTACCAACATAACAGTTAGTGATATCTGGTTCCAGACATTCCCGATGCTTACCACAGAAACAGCAGTGAGACTCGATGACATAAATCTTGATGGAGCTGAAGACATCATTATGGGGTTTGGAACAGGTAAGTCTAGACCAATAGTTTTTCCCTCCATCTTCACCAAAAAATAACTTGCATATAAGTGGTAAGTTTTTTTTTCAAATATATTTTCTCACTTAGGATTTGAACCTCTTGCGCATCATATGAGTGCTCTACCAACTTATTTAAAAGGGCTAGCTCCTAGCTAATAAACAAGGTCCATTGATGGGCCTAATTTCAGGGTCAGTAACATGATATTTCCTCAACATGCTTGTAATAAATAATTTTGTGAACTTTGCCCCTTTGACCATTTTACACGATTCGTAGTTGACAAGCTGATACATGATAGAATCGTTGTTTCATATATAATAGGTGCCGATGCCTTTTATTACCCACCCGTGGTTTGTGATGTCTATTTTGATGGGAAAAAAGCTTGTGGGGGTGGAATTCTAGCTTTGAACGGACGTACTGGCCAAGAAATATGGAGGCGTTATACACCACATGAAATATTTGGAATCAACTGTAATGCTGACTTGGACGGAGACAAAATAAAGGATTGTATCGGTGCTGGGCGAATGGCAGTAAGTGCAATATTTTGTCTGTATACATATTGATAAACATGAATGAAGAGAGAAATATATTAGATTAATGACATTTGCATTAGACATGTCTGTTATCAATTTGTAGATTGTAGTATTAGATGAGTTGCAGTGACTGTATCAGCCAAAACAATTAAATATCTTCATTTTCTATGTGTATCTTACATATAGAATACTAATAAAAACAATCGGAGAGATTTCATACCCTCCCGCCACCTCTCCTGTTGTGTTTATATTGGATAATGTCAAATTTCACATATGAAAACTCGGAAAATCCTTCTCAGATCCAGAATGATCCATAGTCCAGATCATTTTTTTGTAGTGTGATATGGAGTTTCAACCTTAATGTAGCCATGGATCTGATCACACTTTACAGAGTTATTAACCCAAAAATCTCCCCATTATACCTGAAAGTGATCCGCAATACAGATTTGGATCTGAACCAAATATAGTGAGGACTGTCCCATACTGACCTCCCATCTTGTGTAAAATTTTTGTGTAGATTGGTTTATTAATGTTTGAGATACGCATGTGGAAACACAGACACATGGAACCGATTGCAATACCCTTGCAGGGCAAAGGTAACTTGACTTCTTTCAATGCATGCTTAATTGTAACCTAATATTCAAATGCTTATTTAGCATGTGCGACTAGTAACATAAAACTTAAGAAACTTAAAACCAGTCCTTATCATTTAAATATCTATTCAGCTTACTTAAACTTGCTGCACTCAGTGCTTCTGTAAGCAACTTATTTCAACAGCCAACAACCCTGTTAGAAAAATAAAACTGTCATAGCTGAAGATGACTCTTATCTTGCCAAAAGTTATATATTTGTGTTCCTTAGTCTTACCATTCTCACTGTTAGGTATTGGTGTCAAATACATTCACCCGTGTTTGTCTTACTTGTTTGTGCATTTCTGCTTGATTACCATTTGTAGTAACATCTGTGGTGGTTTAATTGATTATAGTTAAAAGTTTTATCTATAGTTATTAAGTAATTCATCTATCGAGTTCATTTTGTTCTCTTTTTTAATCCAAATTTGATGTCGAATGTGTGAGCAATGTTACAACAGATATTTAGACTTTATTCTAATTAAATGATCTTGTTTTCATAGTAGATTTGGATTTGTGAGCATAATTAAGTAAACTGTTACAGAACCGATATTTTGTATATCAGGCAGGTGGTAGCACTGTCTATGTAAGGATGGCTCGGATTGTTCATCTAAATGGTATTTTAACTAGCTCCTCAATAGGTCATCAGAACTTTACAATACTATACAGTGTTTCCTTTTATAACAATATCTATGTAGTGACTGAGTCACAAGTTCTGGGAATGTCTGTAAATATCATAGTAAAAAGTATGAATTTTTTTTGTTCTTCTTTCTTCTGCTTATTTATTCCATAACTCAAAAACCAAAACAATGGTGTCAACTAATTTTACTGAGGTGATATAGTTTCAAAGGGAATATCTGCTTATATAAGTATCATTAATAACTAGTAGTAATTAAAAAAAAAAATTATAATTTTAGTGTAAACGATGTTATCATTACCCCTTGAAGTTAGCTATTTTACAGAAATTTGGTGTTCCTTTGAAAAGCTTAAGTACAGGATGAAACAGGAATTACCAGCCAATAATAGATAAACAATAAATATTACAGTGGGAATCTCATTGTATTTAGAACTTGGTTATAAGTAAAACCTTCCTATGTCTATTGAAACACTGAATTAAAGAAACAAGTAAAGAAAAGTGAAGTAAATGTAGGGATGGCTAATACCAATCCTTCAAAAACAGTGTAAACAAGATAATAGGGATGGTAGTTGCATCATCCGTACATAATAGTACAAACAAGAATTAACATATAGCAATATATGTAACCATTCAATCACAGTTGAGTTTAATTTATCCTATTTATGTCTGTTAACATTCTACTACACTGTGTGCCTGTTCTAGCGTTGTAAGTCCGCAGACATACCGCTGTGCCACTGGAGGGCTCGATTGTTCGTACAATTACAACTGTGGACTAAGCCTACAATGTGCCACTGGAGGGCTCGATTGTTCGTACAATTACAACTGTGGACTAAGCCTACAATGTGCCACTGGAGGGCTCGATTGTTCGTACAATTACAACTGTGAACTAAGCCTACAATAAGGATTTTTCGGAAGATTAGTTTTTATATTGAGATATGTATGGAACCTATATTAATATATGGTACAACTCGACTGAATGGAATAGGTACCACGTCAGCACTATGTTTGGTTTTCAATGCGATATGTTTTCCAACGCTGTGATTGGTTCCGAAAAATTGGGAGGCTCCACCCACAACCCTGTGTAGGTATACTTTTCTTTGCCAATCCAGATATTGCTGTATTTTACTTTTTTATTTTATTCAGAAGATAGTAGCTGTTGTCCTACAAGAAGTACGCAATAATTACGCCCCTGGGCAACTTTTAACTCTTCTGGGCAAAATACACAGGAAAGGAAAACATTACGATCTTTACTGTTAGTCATGAAATTCATAAACGTTTACATGTTTTTCTCAGACTCGAACGTAACATACAATCCGCGCATAATAAGTCTGAGGTCTGCGTATACGTAAAAAAAAAAATTACCCTGATAATTTAAGACTATTACGTCGTGTACTTCTGAGGCTTGCTTCTCATAAACAACACTTACGTTAGGTGCAGGACTTCTCTCTTGCTCTGTAGCACAACAATAATCTGCTTTCAGAAGGAAATGATATTCAGCTATTCAGAATCAATCGGCGATGTTGGTTAAAATATACCGTGAACAAAGGTTAGGAAAGGTTTTATTAAATTGATCAACGTCCTTTTCCGATTGTTTGTAACTAAGCACAAAGCTACACAATGGGCTATCCGTGCCCTGCTCATCACGGGTATCGAAACCCGGATTCTAGCGTTGTAAGTCCGCAGACATACCGCTGTGCCACTGAGGGTGGGGGGGGGGCTCTTTTTCCAAAGCCTGGGTTTCGTTATGAGCTTCAATCGTCTGAAGTTTTTACAATCACTAAACATCTACAGGATCACGTGCGTTTCTTCACATTGTAAGAAACAGTCACCTACTGTGATTACAAGTCATCATAGTTTCGAGAATTACAAGTGTGTATTATAACAGTATTCCAACCACCACACTATATTTGTCATTTCCATTGCTGTGTCCCCCTCCGGTGGGACAGTGATAAGTCTTCGGATTTACAATGCTAAAATCAGGGGTTCGATTCCCCTCGGTGGACACAGCAAAAAAAGCACGATGTGGCTTTGCTAAAAAAGAAAACAAACAATTACAAACATATCCATTACATTATACCGATATCTTATGAAAAGTGTACTTCTAACCATTCTTCGTTGGCTTGTAAAAGACGTACACACCATATTAATCGTTGTTGTATCAAATGGTTTATATAAATAGTGTTACGACCACTGCAGTGTTTGTTATAATCTCAGCCTGGCCTGAATAGCTCTGGATTGAGCAAAACGCGTCGTCGACAATTGATATGAAAAATATTGCTTGGTTGGCATATTATTATTATTATACATTCTTTTAATTCTTGAAAACCCCAAAGGAACTAGATAAAGAAAATAGTGTTTAAAAGTGTTAATAGGCCTAATACTAATGTACTAATGTCTTATAACTAATATGATTGTAATCGCTTATCGCCGGCTTGTAAAAAGTGTACACACCATAACTACTATTATATTTTGTTTCTGTTTTGTGTGTGCAGAAAGTGAAACTGCTACTTTGAAAACATACTGATTTCATAATAAGTCATCATTACAATGTTGCCTTGGCCAATCATGTTAATACAATACATTGATTCTTCTCCAATCACAATCACGATTAACAACACAAGTTTTTTCGTCTCGAAACAATTACGATAATTCACTTTTACCAAAGAAAGTTTTTGGGGTTTTTTTCTTTGGTCATTTTAGAATAAAATTTACATATAAAAACTGTAGAAAAATTTATACATCCCACACAACAGTAGAAACGCATTGCATTGTAATGATGTATTGTTCGTATCTCGATAAGATATTAAAAATATTCTTGTACTACAGGTGTCAGTAGTGTCTCGAGATGAAGTTAGGCCTTACGAGCCCTATCTCAGAAACAGATCAGTGTTTGAGAAGGTAAGAATTATCTAATTTATCAGTTAATTCGTAAATGATAATGATAAGAGTAACTGGTTTATCTCAGTAACAAAGAAGTGTAAGATAAGGTATATTATATCTGAAGTCTGTAAGTATTAAAAAAGCTAAGAATTCGATTTATTTCAGAAGCTGAGCAGTGTTTCTAAAGACAGGGGCTTATTTTTGAAAAACCTTGCAGAAATTCAGTAGAGAAACCATAACTGAATCTCTTGAACATTTAAAAATAATTACCTTACAAACAAAAGTGATATTTGGGATCGTATGGGATTATCTCGGACACCGATGTTTGATTTAATAAAGATTATCTAAGAAACTAAGTAGCTTAGGATGATTTGTTTATAAAGAAAAAAACAAATCAAAATAGGAAGTAGATGTAGGGATGGCTAATATCAATCTTTCAAAATCAATGTAAAGAAGATAGTAGGGATGGCATTTGCATCATCCCTACAAAATAGTAGAAATATGACGTTGAAAAAACCAACAGATATTGGAAACTTGATAAACTAGGTAACTAGTATTTATATTACGAATTTAATTTCAGCACATCAGGCATACGAATTTAATTTCAGCACATCAGGCATACGAATTTAATTTCAGCACATCAGGCAGAACAAATTCGTGTTTAGGTAGGGCGGGTGAAAATAAACATTCTGTTTTTTATCGATTGTTCGTTAGTTCGTTTTAATTAAGCACAAAGCTACACAATAGGCTATCTGTGCTCTGCCCAGCACGCGTATCGAAACCCGGATTGAGGAGTAAAGAAATTATCTACTTGAAATAAAATAAATAAAGGCATTAGTACATAATGGCCACCAGGTGATCAGTTTATTCGTTTCTTTGTTTTTATGTCTCTACTGGCACAGAGATATGTTTGCGGATTTACAACGCTAGCCCATTGCTTAAATTAAAATAAACAAATTTTTGTTTAAGAGTAGAGCCACATTATAGGCTTACCGATGTCCCACCGGGGGGGTTACCAGATGATAAGACGTTCCCTTATATTTTCGGTGCTGCT